TTCCATCAGAGCTCTACAACTTTGAAAATCGAAATAATAAATCGCGTATATCTACGTCATCCGTAGGGAAGGGGTTAATAATGAAATGTCATTGTCGATTGGGGAATGATGGAATGGGAATTTAAAATCCTCCAGAAATAGCCACAGTAATGCAATGGAATTTTTAAGCCTCTAAAATCATATTGATAAATCCAAGTTCATAGCTTTAGTTTTATTTGGTTTATATATATTTATGCATACATTTATTACTTCTTATTTTTGATTGCACTTTCACGTCCAATTTCCTATCGCTCTTTCTAATATTTTGTACAAGGATCGTCCCAAAAGCCATGCCCCATAGACAGATATATGAAAATTACTCTCTCTTCTTCTGCGGATCACCTGGGCGCCAGCGAAGAACATGACTGGCAAAGATACGCGTTCGTAGAGCGTGTTGCCATGGTGTTAGCGTGTTCGGCATGCACCAGTCGCAGAACAACGGCTGAAAAATTCTCCTTTCGAAGTGCTGAACTCTTCTCATAGAACTTTCTTTGAAACCCTGTCAGGGGCATGCAAAATACGATGAAATTGAGTCCACGCGTACCGTAACGGCGTGATCACCGTCCACGTTCTTCGTTGGCACTCGGAATCATGCGGAAAGAGAGAACCAACCGTCCGTTGTGTCTATGGACGGCCTGTAGGTAGGGGCTGTAGCCATGTAGGCTGCTCATGTGGGCCGTTGCGAGGAATAGCTTCGCAATTTCGCATTTACGAAGGAAGATAGAGAGATGGGTCGAGCAAACAAGGAGTCGAATGGGTATTGAAAAGAGGGGAAGGGAGAACAAAGCTGCTAATAGGAGAGTATCATTAACACCGCAGTGCTCATTAACAGGCTTTTTCCGGCTCCCGAAGAGATAGACCCCTCCTTGGTGGGGGGGAAATGGAAGAAGAATCTCTAGCTCCATATCCGGCCTCAGACGACATGACACCACGGATTACATTTAGACACATCGACCTCGTAGATCCCTACAGGATATACGTAGATCTACCCTTCGCCCCTTCCCCCCCCCTAAACGCTCATTGCTCACTCGCCTGGATCCCCTTCCCTCGGCCCTATCGACGGTAACTCCTCGAGAAAGCCATCTCCGTCTCCATTCTCATCTTTTTTGAATGGACGAGAGGGGGAAAGGGGTCCTGACGTTAAAGGGAGACAGAGGGTGAATACGGAGTCATTAAAGATAGACAGAGATGACAAAAGAGGAGTCGAGTCACCCCGATGAAGAAGATGATGATGATGAAGATGACGATGACGATGAAGATGTCTTTGAGACCACCCAGATAAACATCTCTATCTCTCGGATCCATCCATCCCTTTACGTATATACATATAAGCCATTCTCCCCCTCCCGGAAAGGGGACGTGGATATCCTGTCCCTTTCTTCGCACCATTAAATGGCGCATGCTGCGTTTGTCCACCGCAGTTCCCCCCTTTTCCCTTCCATTAATCCCCGACAGTGTGGAAAAGCAGGACAGTTTCGAGCCCGAGCGAAAATGTTTTCGTCTTCATTCTCCGGTCGTTATGGCCGGACTGGATCCATGCATAATGATGGTGTGCAGCCTTCCATTCAGTGAATTTGCATGGAGTTCGTCATCAGCTCGCACGGACATGCATTCATCATTTCATTCAACCGGATTTTGCCGAAAGGAAAAAAACTCGCCGGGAAAGACCGGACAGGCAGGATCCGAGGGAGGAAAGGATCGTCCATCAACGCCTTTCTGCATGGATATGAATTCATCAGCTCCGGAGTCTTTCAAAGTTCCTGATTGAGTTGAATATTGTAATGACATTTTAATAGACGAAGAGAGAAGAAAAAAGGGGAGGGCGAAGAGATGGGGGTAATGCAATCTCAGCTGTCAATTTAAATACGAAATCGCATAGAAGATGCAGCATTACAGGGGGGTAAAGTTCATTTTTCTCGCTCGGGTCATCAGTGTCCGATCACCTTTTTGACGCTCCATTGCTAAAGAGAGCAAAAGAGAGATCCCCCTTCAGGAATTTGCATGCGATTTTCTGCACAACCCATCACATCACAAGCGCATTTTTTTTTTTTTTACATGCAAGGGGGAAGCTGAAGCACTTCTCCCTCGATCGAGTTATTTCCTTGCAGGACGTCCTACTTGAGGAGGAAAATGCTAATAGAAGTGTTTCAGAACAGTTGAACGCATTCAACAATGCTTTTTCTAACGCATTCAACCCCTTTTCAACAGTCAACAGCCATGTATCCGTAGAAATGGAGGCATTTTTCAAGAGTCTAACAACTCCACTCCGAATGACGGATACGACATTTCTGATCCCATCATGATCATCATCATCATCATCAGAGCAGGATTCAGTAGTGAGTCCTGCTGGGAGGACCTGGGAGTTATGAGGGAGTTTCATTATCTCTGCGTGTTAATTGAGCCCCGTAACCGTAATTTTATTCATTAAAGTGTCCGAAAGACACCCATCATTCCCTTATGGTTCCTCCCGCATTTATCATTGCCCTCTTTATGGGTGGCATTATATAGTCTCTCTTCCCCCCCTTCGTTCCTTTGGGGTAAAGGAGTGACGAGTTTTCACGCCCTTTCCCCCGCTGATCGTTGTTCCCCATTAAATCGTACGAGGGGATATCCCTTCGGTCGTATTAGGGAGACACCCCTTCAGCCCTATGAGGAGATATCCCCTTCGCGTGATGGAAAACAGACGAGGGGGAATGACACTGTTGCAACAGATGAAGACTTGCTCTCTCTCGATGGGACACTAATGACAAGTTCCCCCCCTTCCTTTCCCGAGTGAATGAAACGTCAGTGCTTATGCAACAATGAGGAGTTTTATTTTTTTTTCTCACAACTCATGAAAAGACAACGGTGTTCTTTTCCGTCCTGTGCATTTTAAAGCTCAGTCACCTGTATAATAAAAAGACAAGTATAATGGAGATGGAGGGAGAAACCGGGGAGGAAGAATTAACAAAAAATAGGAAATATTCGGTGAAACGGGAAAGATGAGGAAGAACACCAGGATGATTCACGGGACCATCGGGACTCGTGCACTTTTTTTCTTGCCAAAATGCACAACCCCAAATAAATACAAACAGGGGGAACAGATCATCAGCTACCATAAAAGGATGAATCACAGATAGATCGAACAAAACAAAAAAGGAGCACGAGAGGCGTGGAATGCCTCGACAATATTCCTGCATAATACTTTCAACATCATTCTGCGTACTGCATCATCGGGTGTAAGGGTGAAAAAATCATGGGGAATCCTTCTGTTCCTCGACAAAAAAAATTAGAATCACGTGCACGTGATGCATCCCCTCTCTCGGGAGGGGTAGAGAGACCTATCGTCGTTAACTGCTGAATAATAAGAATAAGAATAATTATAATAATTATCATCAGGGAATAAATTGGCACATGGAATACTGCTGAGAACTGGTTTCGTTTCTCCCCTGGGTTCCTTGCAGGAGTGTCTTTGGCAATACAAGAGGATGAGATAAGCATGACTTTTTTCTTCTTTCTTCCGCCATTATTCTTCGTGGAGGAAGACCTAAATTAGGTGCACGACTGCATCTGCATCGTCTTGTGAAGCTCGGGGTTCGCCGAGTGAGCATTCCGCTTCTTTTGGCTCGAGAAGATCTTATTGCAACCCGGGACCGTGCAGCGGAACATCTCGGGGGAGTGCAAAGATTCGTAGTGTTCTTTGAGCCTCGAGCCGTCCGGGAAGGACTTCTGGCAGAATCGACACGGAAGGTTGCCGTCCGGGTCGGGCGTAGGGAGATCTTCTTCCAGGCTGTAGACTAGGGCCGAGCCGTTGCAGTTGAGGCTGGTGTTGTCCGAAGATTCTCCGCCGTTTCCGCCTCCGTTGCTGCCTCGATCCGATTCACCTCCAGACGACACGGAAGTGGGAGGCGATGGTGTGGAATTCCTCCCGCCTCCGCTCCCGAACGACAAGGAAGTCGGAGGTGGAGCCCCCGTCGAGGGAATGCATGGGAACATGAAGCCGGGGAAGGCCGGGACCCTGGGGAACGCCTCTCCGTTGGCCAGCATCTGTTCCGCCATCTTCTCCGGGCTGTAGAAACCTTGCAAGGGATGTTCAGCGTACATCCTTGCCAGGAGCTCCGTCCTCATCTGATGTTCCGCTGCGGCCGAGAACCCTGGAATGTAGGGTGCCATCTTGTCCGAGGTGGACAGGAGCTTCCGATGGAGATTCAGATTGGCGCTGTGTCGATCTCGGCTCCTCTTAGATGGGAAGGCTGCATTGCACCCTTCCACCGTGCACTTGTGCATCAGCTTCAGATGTACGTTCTGGTAATGGGTCTTCACACCGAAGTGGTTCTGGAAGACCTTGCCGCACACGGGGCAACGGCGGGGGTTTTCCTTGTCCACCGGGACGTCCAAAGAGCTGATGAACCCGGAATCTCGAAACGGGGGGTAGCCTGCACTGTCAGAGGAAGGGGAATCTGGGTTGGACTTAGTATCGCCCGAATCCTTGTTGTCTTTGTTCGGACTGGTGCTGCTTGGGGTTTGAGCGAGGCCAGGAGGAAGAGGAGGGTGGGGAGGGAAACCCGGTGATCCGAGGAGGCCGAAGGGCAGGCCGAGACCTCCTGGCCCTGTCAAGTATGGATTCGGTCCGGCGGCGTTCAACAGATTTCGGGACACGAAGTCGCCGAAGTTCCCTTGGGAGAGGCTTTCCAAGTGCTTCAAAGCGTTGGTTTCCAGGGTTTTTAAGACGCTTTCGTTCTCTCCTTCGCCTCTCTCGCTGTCGTCGTCTCTGTCGTCTCCGTATTCATCATCTTCGTCTCCTTCTTCTTCCTCTTCGTATCCTTCCTCGCGTTCTTCGTCTTCGTCTCCATCCTTGTGTTCTTTGTTTTCCTCCTCTCCTTTCTGCTGCTGGTGCTGCTCGGCGTCTTCGTGGCGGTCTCCATCGTTCTCCTTGTTCTCGGACTCTTCCACGTTGTCCTTATCTCGTTCGCGGTCTTTCTCACTAGGGGAGTCTTTCTTGGGTTCCGGGTGGTTTTCGTGCTTGGGTTCCTCCCCGGGATCCATGGATGCCTTTTCATTCGAATGCAGGCTCGGGAGGGCATCGGAGGAGAGGTCATCCGAGGACTGGGTGAGATCATCGGCATGGACGGCGATGCCGTACCGAGTCGGATTCCGACTCTTCCTCTTCCGGACTCCCTTGACCCCCACGAGCTCCTCTCGTGGGAGAGTTTCCCGTTCCTCCTCCTTGGGTTCCGTCCCCATGCTCACGGCATCTGCGTCGTCTTCGTCCTCGTCCTCGTCGTCCGGACTGTCGTCTAGGTTGCTCCCATCGTCCAGGTCCTCGTCGTCCTCTGCGTCCGAGCAATCCGACAGTCTCATCCGCTTGCTGCCGTTGTTATTGCTGTTATCGCCAGATGTGAAGGAGACTGCGGGAGGACTCCCCGACGTCGTGCTCGGCGTCGTCCGGGAAGAGATCAGGTTGGACCCTTGGGATTCCCCGCCGAACGGACCGTGGTGATGGCCTCCTCCGTCGCCCTTCAGTCGGAGATCCAGACTTCGTCCCAGGTCCAACGGACCGGGAGCACTGGAGAGGGCGTTGAATCCCGGAGGGAGGCCAAAGGGGTTGAGAGGATTCAGGGAATTGAGGAGACCGTGAGGGATTTGCATGACGCCCGGGGGGGCATGAGCTTGAGCCGTTCGACCGTCGTGAGGTGAGATCTTCCGCCGTAAATGCGGTGTATGGAGTTTCGGGTTCGGGTTCGCACTGTGACGATTTCGCGATCGACGGCTGCTGAACATCATGTTACAACCTTCCACTGTACATTTGTGCATTTCACGGAGGTGCACAGCCGAGAAATGTATCTTGAGAGCTCCCTTATCACAGAAGGTCTTGAGACAGACGTTGCATTGCACACGTTTCTTCCCCGTCGACGGGTTCATGAGGGAAGTTCCCACGCTGATCGGGTCCCAGCGGCGCTTGATAGGATTTGAGCTTTTCCGCAAGTGCTTGTTCCGATCCAGGTCTTCGTTCGCATTCACACCAGCGTGAACGTGGGACATCGGTTGAGCCGGAGCCGAACGGCTCAAATTGATCGGATCCTCCGACTTCGAAGCGATCGGGGTCGAGGACGAAGATCCCGTCGATGACGATCCTTTGCCGATCAGATTGCTGATGGACAGCTGATTGTTGGGTTGGAGAGTCGGTACGGGGCCGTGGAGACTCGGCGGGAATGCCAAGGGCAGTTTCTCTTCCAGTTTCTCCTTCAATCGGAAGTCGAAGGGTTGCATGCTCTGTAACTTGTTCAGGGGGCTCGGCGGTACGAACGGTGCCCGGAAGTTGGGGGGAGGTGCAGGTGCAGGTGGTGCACCGCCGGGTGAAAATCGGGTGAGTCCGTGGGGCAACCCGGGGAAGATGAGGCTAGGGGGACTCCCTAAATTCCCCTCGCATTTCACCTCACTCTTCACACTACCATGACTAGCCCTTTCCAGGAATTTCTTTATGTCCGACTCTCCTCTCGGCTGATGATCTGCTTGCAGTTGGCCCAACATCCTTTGAGCAATTTTCCGGGTCTCGCCAAACCGAAGGAACTGTTCCAAAATCAACGGCTCTTCCTCCCTGGTGCAAGTGTTCCAGGAGTCCATCAAGCCTCCCTGGGGGTCCTGCACAAGATGTTTCATTTCTTTCGTCTCGTTTTCTTTTTTTTTTTTAGTATCAGATGCCTCAGGACGAGACTGCATGCAGGTGCTACACAGCGCAAAACCCGAAAAAAGACGGACGACTCAAGTCAGGTGGCATATTAGTGCTAAGGAATGTGCATGCGCGGACAAAGAGAACAGATGGAGAGGGCAAGGTTGCCCATCATTTTTCACCTATGTATGAGGGCGAGGGCATGCAAAAAAAAAAAGGCAACAATGCTGTCGACAGAAAGACCTAGGAAGACGCTGGTGCATCTCGTTATCCCTCCTTCCCTCCGATAATTGGGTGCTTATGAAAATAAACATGCATGCAATGCATCTGCCCTTGTCTCTCCCTCTCCCTTTCCTGCAAAGGCTGACATGCATACCTCCGCAGCTCGAGATGGCGCTTCGTGAATATAATCCAGTCCCCCTCATTTCCCCCCCCCCCCCCCCCCTCTTTTTTTGGGGGGGGGGGGGGGGGNCGACCCCGATCGCTTCGAAGTCGGAGGATCCGATCAATTTGAGCCGTTCGGCTCCGGCTCAACCGATGTCCCACGTTCACGCTGGTGTGAATGCGAACGAAGACCTGGATCGGAACAAGCACTTGCGGAAAAGGACACTCCACACAATGCGTGGAAGTAGAAGAAAAGTGCAGGAGGGGTTTACGGGGCACGAAATGCGAGAGGATAAGGAACAATGAAGTCACGCTCGCATCTCCGATGACATGATCCCTATAATAACAAATCCACGTCTCTATATACTGTGAATGTGAACCTATTTGCACGCCCTTGCCCCATCTCCGGAAGCACAAGAATCCGCTCCCTTCTTATGCATAGAAAAGGCGAGACGTCACGTTTCTTTTTGTCATCGTCCTCTTTTAGGGATAGAAATCCTTCGGGAAGGAACTGGAGTGACATGGACCGACGAGCATATTGCAGAAAGGGGAAGAGACGAGAGAGCAGAAAAGAGAGAGGTGTCCGTTGGTCCGTCAAATGGTGATAGAGATAGGGAAGTAATTAGTCTGCCAAGAGGGAGTGACAAGAGACCCCATTCCCCATTTTTCCACCACATCCAATGAAGCATCAGAAAGACAATGCACGGGCAATCACCTCTCTGCCCTTCGCTCTCGGAAGCCATGAATGTCATTAAGCATGCTGCCTTCAACGCTCTCTAAAACTTTGAAGAACGTCAACCATGCAGAAACGATCGAGGGAATCTACTGACCTGTCGGACGTAGCCCCGGTCGTAGTCTTCGGGAGACCACCCGAAGCCCCTGAGGATCTGAAGAACGTCTTCAGGCGGGAGAACGGAGAAGAGACGATCCAGAAGGACCTTCAACGGCGTCGGGATGAGGGAACAGCCATAGAGAAACAAGGAAGCGACATCGAATACCGTGTTCGATGCCACCGGCTCCACTCGACTCTCGCCTCGACACACGCCTAGTTTGTCCAGGGCTGGAACAAGCAAAACGAGAAAAATAAAAGTACTGTAAGGGCCTTGGAGATGATTACGTGTCCCCATATTTCACGTGGATAGGGAGGCAGGCGGGGAAAATGAAAAGGCATGATGGGGGGGTCATAATCATCGGGTATTCTTGATTATGGGGGGCGACCTTGGAAGCATGCTTGGTATTTCAAGTCCTTGATAGTTGTCATTCCAGGGATTTAGCCCCGATCTCCTGAAACCGGCCATTATTTCATCCCATGCAAGAATGAGGTTCCTCGCATGCCCCGTGAATTCTTCGATGCATCCGACTGTCAACACGAAATGGCATGCACTGTTGAGTCCACGTCGGGGGCAACGCTCTCTGATTTTTCCCTCGCTTGGGTCCGAATGATAGAGACCAGAACCCGAATGTGTATGTGAAAAAAGAAGGGAGGGTGTCCGGTGAAGATAATTTTCTGGCCGACTGAGAGAGTGGGAAGGTGTCACGTATACACGTCCGCGTCTGTCCTCAAGCAACACAATCACCGAGACATGTAATCATGGGTTTCTTCCTTCCTTTCTTCCACCTTCTATCTATATATCTCTCTTTGGTCGTGGTCGTGGTCGTGGTCGTGGTCCACGTCGTGCAACAACAACCACTTATAAACTTCTCTCTCTGTCTTTTCACACCGTTGCGTTGGGGGGGCCTGTCGTCAGACGACCCCCCTATATAAGCTTTACAGAAGAGTCGCTGTATAGTGCATTTCCAGTCACGCACTTCCTGTGCCTGTCTCTGTCATCATCGCCGTCCTATACAGACTACCCCCTTCCAATTATCTTGGGGCAAACCTGCACTTCGGAGTACGGATCGAGTCGCAACTCGTTCACGGGGTCTATCAGTAGGATTAAACACCGTTTGTATGGGCACACAAATGAAATGATGAATGTGAAAGTTCAGGTATTAGGCAATCAGAAATAACATCTGTAGTGGTAACGCCTTCTAATGTATGCAGAAAAAAAGGTTATCTGTACGGAAGGAGCTGAATTGCCAGGAGCAATCACACTCGTGCAGTACCCAATAACCCTAATCTTCAATAATAATCAGCAGCCAACCATGTAATGAAAAATCGTACAACGCTTGACTTTAGATTTTCCGAGCACCGCCAAAGATGACAGCATTTGCCCCTAATTTTTGAGGATTTCCTTCCTCTCGCTCTCACGGTCTGGGTCTCCCTTGAGATTTTTCCATCCACCTTTCGTCGTGGGCGATGCAGCCGGACAGGGACTGGATAATGATGTCTCTCCTTCTATCTCTAATTTTCATGTCATCCCCTCCAATTAAAGTCCCATTAGAGCGTCTTCTCCACTTCCTTTCCCCCGTTTTCCTCTCCACGGTCGCGAAATCCGGTCACTTTTTTTAGTTTCTGAGGACTTGTGAAATACTTTTACGCTGGAGGAGTTGCAGTATAAAAAATAAAAGGGGAAGAAAATTAAGGCGTGTAGTCCATGTTTGCATGAAGATCGTGACAAAGAGAATGATCTTAGAGGGCAGGAGCGCGAGCACACCCATGCAGACAAAAAACAACTGGATGGCATGAATGAAAAAGAGGGTAATTTCACAGAAGGGAATGTGAGCAATTAATAGGCAGTTAATAACTCCGGGGAATGGCCCGGAGGCATATGATGTAGGGACTGCACTTTAATGGCATTACACGCCGGGTCAATACATAACGTGTCACCGGGACCGAGATAGATGACTTTCCTTCGCCCTGCTCGTCATTACCCGCACACATTTATAATGGACTTTTTGCCCCTCTCTCTCTCTCTCTCTCTAGCTTTATAGGGACGACGCCCATATCCATGGGATGACGGGCCTGCCTGCCTGCCTGTCAACTTTTTTTCTTTGCCCCCTCCCCTTCGCTCATAAAAACAGGACTCGTAGACAATGGCCTTTGTGATGGAAATTCCTCGACGCAGAGGAGAGGCCAAGTGACCAAAAGCCTTTAGGTTACCAAAAGCTTTCCGTGCACGCGCGTCTCGTCATTCGAGACAGATCACGGAGATGGCAACAACTTGGGCAGGGGGTCCTCAGACACATGAAACCTGCACAAGATGTATTTATAAAAGTGATTTGAAGGATGGGCCGTGTCACGTGGGTTTCGGATGACCCATTGGAAGCATGGCATTGAGTTACACACGACCGACGTGATGGCATCCTCTACTGCATATAGAAGCCTATCTACACGGTGCAGTGTACGGACCGGACTGGTATCTGACAGTTGACACCGCATATCCCGGCTTGGTACGTGGAGTGACAAAGGAACTGCGTAATATTCTTTTTTCATGCGTTTGTGTGTGCGCACGATGATACCCTTCGCCCAGAGTCGAAAAGGGATAATAAAAAAGAGAGAGTGATGAAGATGATGATGAACCTTTTCATTGGAGGGGGAGGGAAGAAAATGATTGAAGTCCGAGACAGACACCTGTGTGCGAATGTGTGTGTGCCCTATTGTGCCGTATTGTATTGTCAAAGGGGTAATTGGGGAGGTGGCTTGAGCATCTCCGTAAAATCAGTAATCAACGCGGTCTTCCTTTGTGCACTACACCCATCATTATTCTCACCTCGACCTCCTCATAAAAATAGAGGAACCTCAATAACAAGGCCCGAGTCTTGTTTTTCCTCGCAGATTCCTGCAGCATGGGTCGTAATCGAGTTGCCAACATCTGGCCGTGCTACCACTGGGCTCATAAAACGAGGCGCAATCAAAAGTGGGGCTGGCGATGGAAGAAAGAAATCTAATTCGAGGCGAGAGAAGAAAGAAGAAAAAAAGGAGACTGCAAGGAGACCGAAAGGACATAGCAACGCGTAGCCTTGGGGATATTTATGTGACACACCAGACTATAGGGCTAACCGCCAAATGTTGTCCTCACGGGCCAAGCACATACATCTTTGGAGTCTCTTAATCACTTAAGGAGACCCTTGTGTGACACGGGCCACGAGCACTGGCCTCGGGCTCGCTTAAAACGAGGGAAAAGAGAAGAAAAAGGAAGAAAAGTGGAATTGAGGAAGCAGAAGAGCCGAAATGAGTTTCTCCGAGAGGCTCCTATATAGATCTAGGAAAGGAATAGGAATCGGGAATGCTCATCCTATGCTCATCCCATGCACGTCTCCCCACTACAAGCATTAATTGTCTCCCTCTCTCTCTCCAACAGAGAAAGACCAAGAAAAGCGTGAAATGCAGCGGGAGAAATAAATTGAGGGCGGCATTGTCGCCCTCACAAAGACCCCCCGATGTCCCCCCGCATCAAACATTCATCCCATCACGCCAAGACGATCTTCACTTCGCACCTGTCTTGGGGTGGTCACTCGGCTCGATCGAGTCTCGCCAAGTACCGCGCTCCCGTAGCTGCAGCAATCCCTGAAGGTGTGAAAGTCTCTTTCTCTCCCTCTCTCCCGATATAACGGTCGAAGGAGCAGGATTCGTCATAGGACATTAGAAGATCTTTACGATCTTGGCCGAATAATGGGATGGAACGCGGTCCTCGAGCCCATGTCTGGATGGGAATCAAAGGAGGTTGCATTTGGCACGGATGCGAAGAAGGGCCTCTAGACAGCTCCTGCCTGCATCCTTCGTGCCTATTGCGGAAACGAGCATGAATGATGGGAATCTATAAACCCGTGTCCATACCTCCCTCCTCGCATTTCTCGATTTTACTCCTCCAGAACTGACGACCTACATGAGAAAAAGAGAAAGAAGGAGAGGAAGGCATCTCGGTCGTCCTCAAAATGGAGGATCCTGGGGGCTTTTTGTTCTAGATGACACGGTGAAGACGGATTGTTCTGGAACCCGGAGTGCACGGAGACTGGACTGAATGATGATGATGATGATGACGGTGATGACGACGTCCGAATTCCTTGTCCGTCAGACGATGGAGAAAGAGAAGAGGGAGGCGGGAGACAAGACAGACAGACGCTCGGGAGCAAATTGCCTTCCATTATGGTGACATAATCAGAAGGAAAGATCTGGACATTGGTTGTGACACGTCTACCGGTTGTGATGGCTTATCTGGCTAATGGACATGAGACATGCCCTTGCCTTGCCTTCTACCGCCTTCCCTCTTTCTCCCGTCCGACATCAGCTTATCTCACTCTCTTTCTCATGCATCGTCCATTGCACTACATAGCTCGACTTGCGATGCCGGTCATTATGAAAGAAAAGAAGAAAAAGGGAGGGAAAAAAAATTCAGAGCATTGTAAAGGAGAAGGTGCACCTGTGGAACCTCGCGAAATATATCCTCCGGTTCATAAAATCCCCCCGGTAAAATGAGTATTGGGGGATCACGCCTTTTATTCGACCGTGGAAGATGAGAGCATCGACTCGCGAGATATATGGTGAAAGTGGAGGAGGAGAGGAGAGTTCAATTATACGTCCAGGAGAGAAGTCTCAATTGGCTTCCATGATGGTGCATGGAAAATCCCATTGAATCTCTGCACAACAAAGTGACACCTCGCTGTTAATCAAGAACCTATTGGGGTAAGGAGCTGACTCATCCTTCCTTTGCCCATATAATCACCCTGGACCAGATCCCAAACCTATCCCCTATACTGTATTATATACATCCTGGTCCAGATTCATGGCTTGAGGCGATGCAATTCATTCGATATATGAAATCGGCCCAGGTCCCTTCTGCTTTTTTCTTTCCCCAGGATTGTCTGCCCAAGGAATTGCTGCTTCGGAGGAGCTCGAATGCCTCATAGAGCAACCTGGATCACCCAAGAATAAAAATCCAGGATCTCCGTCACCCATGGCGTCAGAAATTATCCGTGAAATCAGGCAGAGTGCCAAATCCCCCCTCCGACATTGCCAAACATCAGACTCCCTATAGACGGACCTCTCTATCTTTCCCTGCCATCCTCAAATATTCCGGGTGGCCGACGCGTCTGTCGGGTCTGGAAGACAGAAAGAACGTGGGATCATGCCTAGGAGGGACGGGGAATGAGATTCTGCAACTATAATGAAATCTCGAGGGGTGGAAAGGAAAGGAAAGGAGAAAGAGAGAAAGAATGTTCCATGTGGGAGATGAAGCACAATGATAATCGAATGCACAGCCTTCAATCATAATGTCTGACACTTCTCTCTCTCTCTCTCTCTTTCGACGCCCTTCTCCCGCTCATTCCTCCTTCTGTTTGTTGTGGATTCGCCCCCCCCCCCCTCTTCTCTCTCTCACTCTTGGACAGAGAGACTAATCAAGGAACCTCGGACCCCGATAATCCCCCAGTTATTGGTTGGGGTCACCGGCGCAAACAGGGGAATGCAAACTGCATGCAATGAGACAAAGAGATAAGAAGGGGGCCCGGCTTGCATGATGAGTTGCTACGGGTGTCATTTATTACGAGGGTGTCGGGCAGAAAGAGACCTACAAAAGCCCCGGTTGCAGGTGTGTTTTAAATACATGCAAATCAGAACTCATAATCATGACCGTGCGAGCCGCTCCCCTCGAAGGCGCAACGGCAGAGTTAGGCGCTTTCAGCGGTTCCAGATATCCATCGACCCCGCATGCGATACATAAAATCGCCAAGTGTGCCAGGTAGGCATTCCATGTGGGTTATACGATAAGAGAGAGAGAGAGAGAAAGAGATGTGTTTACGAGTGGGCGAGGTCAGTTTTTTAAAGGATGCCCCGGGGACATGCCATGCCTTGCCTTCTTGTCCCGCACGCGTGGCATTCGTCTTCCTCCCTCCAAACCCCGAAATTACACCCTTTCCCTTAATTGATGAGAGGACACGACCAAAAGGGTCCCTCGACCCGGTGTCATTACCCAGGAATCCATTGCCGATGTCCCCGGACCCCAAAAGCGGTCGAAGACGATCGGTTGGGACAGGGCGGGGCCCGTTCGGATGTGCCATAAATCTGACCTCAACGCTCAAGGTCGAAACAGGATAGGACAGATTCCTTTCGAAAAATTGTCTTGAAGTCGGCTCGATCGAGGTCATACGATCCTGCTGAGCGAAATACACTAAATTCATAATTCACGAGGGAAAAAAAATAGAGGGGGAGGGTGGGGAATACAACGCCCACACATGATTCAATATGTGCTTCTATGGGTGGTACATTTCTCTGATGATTGCTGGCTCTACACATCGAATCCAAACAAGGACAGTATCCTCTGGCAAATCGTCTTCAGTCAGCTTGATCGAGGTCATAATCCCCTCTATGGAGTATCTAATCACTGACACCCATTTCTCCACAAACAAGGAAAATCACACGTTTTTTACACTACCACTGAGAATCAGGAACAGGACGGAATTATTGACCGCGGAAGAATCGTGACAGGGAGAGAGAAAGAGAGAGAGAAGATGCGATATGCGTGAGGACGAGAGGCGATCTAGTACAAGAAGGGTGGCTTTAAAAGCCCCCATATTAATGCTAATCGATAGGGGTGACATTAGCATATATGTCAGGGGAGGAGGGGGGGGGGGGGGGGGGGGGGGGGGGGGGGGGCAGAGAGACCTGCACGCCAGCGGAAGATTCCTCATGCATTCCCTTGCGAGACCGCAATCACAGGTCTCTCGCCCCCCATAAAAATCTGACAATGTCCGAACACGAGACGTCTTTTGTGTCCTCTTTAAAACGGTTTTCTTTTTACTTCATTCCCATCATGTTACGTCCCTTTTGTGGGCCGGGCTGTCAAAATGCCACCACGTTCGGGCGACGAAAAACCTTCCCTTTATCTCCACAGCATGAAAGAGCTCTTTTGAAACCCGAACGTCACGTTGGAGTCGATATGAAATCACTTTTTACGTCGTCCATTATCGAGCCGATCGTGTAACGTGGAAAACCATCCCCACAACACCTTTCATTCGTGCATCATGACTCCCGGATTCATTTTGCACTGTTTTGAGACGAGCCCTCGAGTGTGACAGGTGTTTGAAATGCGATCGAACCCCGATGAGCGAACGCGGAGAGTGTAGGCGAGGGGGTTAGACACTCGACACGGAGCAGTTGCCTCTGTCTATACGTTGTCTATACGTCGATGGCACGAGCCAAAAGTGAAGCCAAAAGCCAGAGGGGAGAGAAGGAATAACAAACGAGCCTGGCTGTCTTCCGTCATAAATAGTGTCGCATGGGACAAGAAGGAGAAGAAGACGGGATTTTGTGCCTAGTGCCTAGTGAAGAAGGCGGTTCTGTCCTCGGTCCTGTAAACACATTTTGGGCCCTGTTTATTTTGGCGGAAGACACAGGACAGGCATGCAAGGCAGGCACGGGATATGGCAGCCCCCAACATGCTCTCTGCTCTCTATACTTCCCGTACAAACTGTACATAGACGTGAAGAAAAGAGGTCTTTTTGGCCTTTGCTTTGGCCCGCCTATCTCGGGGATAATGAGAGAAGAAATCCCCTCGCAATTACCCGAGTGATGACACCTCTTTGCGGAATGTCACCCGAGATTTCCCTTCCACATTCATCATGTCTCTCCCCGGTCTCTCATTACAGACCACAAAGGAGACGGGCCTTCGGTGCGGCCGTTGCGAAAAATGTCCTTCCGCGACGTCGGTCTTCCACGAGAGACGAAGGAGCGTAGGCCAAAGCGCCCGGCTTGGTCAATCAATTAAGGGGTGAAACAAATGCTTTGGCAAGCCGGAGATTTTTCCATTTAAATTCTAATGTGATGGGGGTATAGGGGCGGTTGGTCATATTTCTCGGGCCACTAGAGGGGGACTTATGACTTATGTCCCTTTGTTATACTGTATACCTGGTTTCTCTTTCCCGGGCCCCTTCGTCCTATACATCATCGTCGTCTTCTTCTTCTTCACCCCCTTGGGGAGGTAAAGACTCGTACCCCCTGCTCGGCATGACTCGCTTCCAGGTAGCTTTACCTTTCAGCTTCCCCCTCTCGACGATGACCTCAGTCTCTCTCGGTAACAGTGGGGGGAAACAAGTAAAAAAAAAAAAGAGGGAAAAAAGAAACGCGTGTGAGAGCGAGCGGCCGCGAAGGACTGAAATTATCTGCGGCGGTCATTTTGGGACGCAATGTTCCGTTCTGTCACGTAGGATCCTGTCACGCACTTGTCCTGTCCTCTGATAGTGTACTGTAGAAGGCCTCTTTTATTTCGCCTCGAGGCAGTTAGGAGATCTCAGGGAAGAAAAAAAAAACAGAGACGACGAAATACCCGCATGTACCAAGCCGAAAGAGTATATCCAGTGACCAGTCGCCTTGGGCTTGTCCGGTCCCTTGCCCCAGTTCCTCATGAGATTGCAAAATCAAATCCTCTCTCTCTTTCCTTTCTCACTCTCTCTCTCTGATTGACGCGTCCTTGTTCACGAGAGAGAGGAGTCATCGGAGGCAGGTCGATTTCATGAGCTGCACCGCAGGAGTTAAAGAAGGGGAGAATATTTACGAGAGGCTGGCAGTTGCCGACAGAGGGAGAAAGAAGGTCCCTTCCATATTATGCAGTCGGGACCTCCTGGAGATGCTTAAGAAAGGAATGGAAAGACATGGGGAAGAGGGAAGACGGGGACCCTGCTGATGTGGAGACATGCCCGGGTGTCATCGCGTGCCCTCTCGCCACGTGCCACCCCCTACAGGCCTCCCCCCTCCCCATCAAGACATGGCCATGTCTTGGGGGGTAAAACACGGATGGCTCCCCTTACTCAAGTAAACAGAGCATCCTCCTTTACCCTGTCTAGACGAACCTTGCATCACATTACCTACACTGCAGATACCGGATCCAAAAAATGTATTAAAAAATGAAAACAGGGCAGAGCCCAACCCAGTAGTGAACCTCCTCTGAGTGTAGTGTCCCGAACGATCCGGGCAATTTAACGCGGAATTGGAAGAAAGAAGGGGGAAGGAGAGCAGAAAAGGATGCCTGCAGACGGTGTGTTTGGGGATGGTTGAAATAAGTAGGGGCGATCAACCATCCATTACGCCGACTTTCAAATGCATTTTTTAAATGTACGGAATGAAATGATTACATAAAAAACTCCAAGCATACCACATTCGTGACTTTTTGCAATGATATGTCGAATTTTGAAGCGTTAATATTCCCGCTGCAGTTTACGAAACCCTTGCTTTGGTAGACAGATTTCCTGGTGATTGCATAACGAACCTCGTTTCTTTTGCAAAATAAATGAGGCTTACTTGAAAAAAAAAGGAAGGAAGGTAGCATTGATGAAAGCATGCGGTTCGTTCCCTGATTCGTGAGAATTCGGTCGTCCCCACACAACTTGTCAGAAGTTGATGATGATCCATGCGGCCTCCCACCCTCGGACCTTGAAATGAGGTTTTTCTCCTCGCAAATACACCTACCGTATAGTCCTATCGCATCTACCGTGTAGGAAACTGTTTTCTTGCTTCTTCCTACATCGGCTATACCTCCGTCGGGGGTGCGAGGGGGCGTGCTGGGATCCTCCGCAGAAATATGAATTCATGCATGGAGCATGCAATGCGGAACCCTCGGCATAATAAACAGTGTCATTTGAAAGGCTAATTGTCCGGTTGTCATCGGGGAGCTTCGTTTCCTATGCATTTTTTTCCAACTGTTTACTGTTCCGTCATTATCATGAGACCCCCACATTCCAACTCCATTCTTTCCTACCAATTACGGCCAACTCTGGTGAATATGTGTCCTCCGGCAATGGAAACGGGAGATAATCTCATCGAGCCTGCGTGGGTTCTATGAAGAATACAAGACAATGGAAGGGAAACTGCGGTTCGTGAGTCGTGATTTCATGAGGATATGAATCCGTTTCAAAGTGGACACATACCATTCCTCGCCTGTCTCCCCAAGCCAAAAAAAATTAATCCGGATCTGAGAATCAACAATTGCCGCTGTTACGCTAATTGCTACGCGGATTTCCGCGGGGAGGGGGACCTAGAAAAAAAAAGGAAAACAAGACAAAGAAAGAATGGAATCGAGGGAGGCATGTTCAGTCGATGACACTCTGGAAACATATAGGCGCCAATTTTCGGGCCAATTTGTGTCGCTTCCAATTTTCCGCGCCGTGCACATGCCAATTGTCTCTCTCTCTCTCGCGGTCCTCGAAGGAAATACAGGCCGTATATACGTATGAGAGACTCTATACAGTGTAGATGTGTCCCCAAGCACGGCGGCACATTTATCATCAGGATCCAACGTCTTACGAGTCCCTCGGGATCCTTCCAATGAGCTCCCCTATACTCGCCTATTTGCATATATCCAGTACATAAATCAGCACGATGTCTTCTCCCCCCTATTACTGGGGAATGGTGGATTGTTCACAGCGGGGCGAAGACGACCTGAATGAAATCAGATGGGCCCCTCGCGTCGCATCTGATTCCATATTTTCATCAATAGAAGGGGCAAGATACGGAGAAAGAAAAAAATTCGTGAAACTCACCGTGAGCGACCCAGCCGTGTCCGCAGGTATCACAGAAGCGCACTTGATGCTTCCCGGGCAGGAAACATTCGCATTTGCAACCGGATTTCGTGCACCGGATCGCCTAGGGAAGAGAAAAGGCAGAGGGGGATTTTGAGACATTTGAATCCCGTTTTTGCTTTCCCCATTGTTTCCAAGGAATGTTCCCTTCCTTTCAAAAGCCATTTATGCGAATGATTGTGGAAGTGGGGAGGAGGAGGGGGAAGTGACAAGAGGGATGGACATGAGGGGGAAAGCCCAGTGTCCCCCGGGACCCGGAACAACCTCATAGAGGATTCATGGCCAGAATAAATCGTCATCCTCGGCTTGTCAGTTCCATGCCACACGACATTAGGCTTAGCCAAGCCAAGAGAGAAAGCAAAAAACAGGTGAAGAAAGAAGGCGCAGAAGAGAGAGAGGAGGAGAGGAATCCATCTACAAAGAAAATAGTGGGTCGGGTCGAAGCTGTCTATTTTCCTAGGCACTAGGGACTTGACTTTGGCATGGGA